AAACCAGGACGCTCCCGTGCGCTTCGGGGCTATCAGGACTGCTGATAGCTGCTTCTCCCGCACTCGGTCCGGGAACCGAGGGGTCAGCGGAACTGGTGGGAAAACCGTATAACAGCACCCTGGGCCACGGCCGTCTATCCCCAGAGGGGGGTGATCCTACATACATTGCTTTGATGGAGAGCAACGTGTTTGCGCGCCCAGAACAGCAGCCGCCTGGCTGCGTTCAGAAGCTGCGCAGATCGTACTCCTCCCTGGCGATTGAGGTAGGCTGCCGTGGCCTGTTGTCTGTGTGAATCAACACATGTCTGATTGTACAGCAACATTGCGAAGTGCTGGAATACTTCCCAAACCGGAGAGCAGATCCAGCACATTTACCTCTGACGCAAGGGGTCGATGCGCAGGCGAATGAACCACCTCTGGAGACTCCTCCTGTGGGGGAGACCCAGGGGGATCACCACGTGACCAGCTGACGTCATGCTGAGCAGCTGCATCATGGAGAGGGCTGTCATCACTCTGCGGGGTCTGACACGCCGGAGAAGAGCTCTCATGCTGGCTGAGTTTAATTCCACTCCCAGATAAATGATTGTCTGAGAGGGAAGAGGACAGATCTTCTTCCAATTTATGAAAACGCAGGCTTGACAGATGCGATACAAGATGTAGCGTCTGTAAAGTGACTTCCTTTAGAGAGAGAGAGAGATATTTGCGAGTTGCCTAAGAACTGGTAAGATGGCAGGGTTTCCCACACATAGACTTTACTTGGGCGGGCCGCCCAGGTATATTAACGGCCGCCAAAGTATAATTTGCGCGCCATTTAGGTTGAATTTGTTTAATCCGTGCGCGAGCGCGACGGCATCTGCGATCCCTCGCTCTACCCCTCACTATCGCGTGAAGGGTCTGCTTTATGTGCTGCGCACAGTTACCGGCGAACAGTTCATGATTGTGCTTACTAGCGCACCTCCCCCCCCCCCCCTGTTCATAAAGTCAAGTAGGCCTACCCCTCAAAAGGTCCGGTTTATTTCGTTTTAAGGATGCGCACCAAGCAACATCTCCAGGTGCTCCTTTGAGAACCTGGGCAAAACAGTTATGTGCACCCCTGATTATGATCCACGTCACATATTCAGTTTAGACGGCAGTTCTTCCACTTTGTCCAGAAGTCTTCTAATCAGGGCTCTATAAATAAGGAAGCCGAACCGTGTATTACAATGCCGTTATGTGATGACTTTCAAAGAGAAAAGCAAGCACAGTCGGAATAAAGTATTTTTAAAATTTTTTTTTTTTATGTTTTTCGGATTTCATATCACATAAACACCATATCCCAACGTGCATTGCGGCTAAACAATCCAATCACCGAGCTTAAACCATAGCTGAGGATCTGAGGGAGCCTCCACACGCTGCGTTTCACTCCGGCTCTCATCATGCGGTGCTTACACGCTCAGGGGATGAGTGGAGGTGTTTGCATTGCTGTCCACACGAGGCATTATAACGGCGCTCATGGGCTCATTATGAGCGTGTGTAGGAGGTATATCTGGGACAGAGAAATGCCGCGAGCTCTGCAGTTTATTAACCGATAGTTTAAAAACAGCAGGCTTCTGTAGCGAGCCCTGCTGGCTACTAACCGACAGGTTAGTGACAGCTGGCTTAGTTAGCGAGCTCTGCAGTTTATTAACCGATAGCGGGGCCAGAGACATGGAAAATGCACCCAAATGACCTCAGAAGTGTTTTTTTTTTTCTAAATCTCTCTAAAAAGGTAAAATATCACTTGTTTTGCATAAATCTTGATACAGGGTACTTATTATATGTTATAGTTTGGATTCCTAAATCTTTTAGTCTACTAATCAATCATTCAAGGGTGGTTTTCACTATAAGTAATGTTTTTTTTGGACGGACACTATAATTTAAATTGTTTTACTATGTTCAATCTGAATTTACTTTAAAATAAAAAAAATCTATATTGATTCTGACTTTTCTACATCCAACTCACAGGTTTATCATTGCTTTGAGAATTTTTTTTATTAATATACCCCTTTTAGAAGTGAAGATTTAGTCAATTGTTCTAGGAATGTCATTTTCGAGCCTGAGGCCTGAAAAACAGGCTCAGGGCTCAACAGGTTAAAGGTGACATGTCATGCTTTTCCGGTTGTTACCCGTCCCCTTGTGTGTTATGAAGGTTTTTATGCATGTAAATGGTGTGCCGAGTCAAAACCCTCAAAGTACACCCTGTAGCGATTAAAACTCTAACACAGAAAATACCTCCCCAAAACGCCTCGTTGGAGATACGTCACTGTCCATTTGATTCTTCCTGGTACATCATGATGTCATGTCGTCCCCGGAACGAAATGGACCAATCCGTGGAGCCGTTACGTTACGTCCGCGGAGCCGTTACGTTAAGCCCCCGCTGATTGGTCCAAATTGACCAATCCACGGACTTCCTCACACACTCAGTGCAGGCAGCTCTGCTGATCTCTCCTCCCTGGCTGCAGGCTGATAACAGACAGTTGGGGATCGCGGCGAAATTCTCTCTGCAGACCCATTCTCTCTGCAGACCCATTCTCTCTGCAGACCCGTTCTCTCTGCAGACCCATTCTCTCTGCAGACCCATTCTCTCTGCAGACCCATTCTCTCTGCAGACCCATTCTCTCTGCAGACCCATTCTCTCTGCAGACCCATTCTCTCTGCAGACCCATTCTCTCTGCAGACCCATTCTCTCTGCAGACCCATTCTCTCTACAGACCCATTCTCTCTACAGACCCGTTCTCTCTACAGACCCATTCTCTCTACAGACCCATTCTCTCTACAGACCCATTCTCTCTACAGACCCATTCTCTCTACAGACCCATTCTCTCTACAGACCCGTTCTCTCTGCAGACCCGTTCTCTCTGCAGACCCGTTCTCTCTGCAGACCCATTCTCTCTGCAGACCCATTCTCTCTGCAGACCCATTCTCTCTACAGACCCATTCTCTCTGCAGACCCATTCTCTCTGCAGACCCATTCTCTCTGCAGACCCATTCTCTCTGCAGACCCATTCTCTCTACAGACCCATTCTCTCTGCAGACCCATTCTCTCTACAGACCCGTTCTCTCTGCAGACCCGTTCTCTCTGCAGACCCATTCTCTCTGCAGACCCATTCTCTCTGCAGACCCATTCTCTCTGCAGACCCATTCTCTCTGCAGACCCATTCTCTCTGCAGACCCATTCTCTCTGCAGACCCATTCTCTCTGCAGACCCATTCTCTCTGCAGACCCATTCTCTCTACAGACCCATTCTCTCTACAGACCCATTCTCTCTGCAGACCCGTTCTCTCTGCAGACCCATTCTCTCTGCAGACCCGTTCTCTCTGCAGACCCGTTCTCTCTGCAGACCCGTTCTCTCTGCAGACCCGTTCTCTCTGCAGACCCGTTCTCTCTGCAGACCCATTCTCTCTGCAGACCCATTCTCTCTGCAGACCTATTCTCTCTGCAGACCCATTCTCTCTACAGACCCATTCTCTCTGCAGACCCATTCTCTCTACAGACCCATTCTCTCTGCAGACCCATTCTCTCTGCAGACCCATTCTCTCTGCAGACCCGTTCTCTCTGCAGACCCATTCTCTCTGCAGACCCATTCTCTCTACAGACCCATTCTCTCTACAGACCCGTTCTCTCTGCAGACCCATTCTCTCTACAGACCCATTCTCTCTGCAGACCCATTCTCTCTGCAGACCCGTTCTCTCTACAGACCCATTCTCTCTGCAGACCCATTCTCTCTACAGACCCATTCTCTCTACAGACCCATTCTCTCTGCAGACCCATTCTCTCTGCAGACCCATTCTCTCTGCAGACCCGTTCTCTCTGCAGACCCATTCTCTCTGCAGACCCATTCTCTCTACAGACCCATTCTCTCTACAGACCCGTTCTCTCTGCAGACCCATTCTCTCTACAGACCCATTCTCTCTGCAGACCCATTCTCTCTGCAGACCCATTCTTGGGTAAATTGTGTATCTTAACACTAGAACCACCAGAGGTCGCTGTATACCTAAAACCGCCAACGGGTAAAATGTACCGCTATTGATTTTCAAGGTACAATGTTCTTTTATTTATCATACAGAACAGTGAGTTTTGATCGCACAGGGATGAAACGTATACCAATAGAATCTGTGGACTCTCAGCTTTTCATATGATATAGTTTGTGCAGATAACATTAAGTATAAAATATCCCTAAGAGTGCTAATTTAAACGCTTGGTATTAGACTTGTGTTTTGTTTAGGTACAAATCTCTCTATCTATAACTATCTATCGATCCATCTGTAATGTTCTGTTCTATGGACATATAATTGTCTACATAAACAGACGACGCGGACTACTTCTCTCATTCCGAGTGTCCATCTTTATTCAACTGGCACGTAACCTGCACACATGCATTACGTCAGTCATCTAAGATCTTGTATTCTCCAAGATCTTACACTATCTATAACTATCTATCTATCTATCTCTCTCTCTCAATCTATAAGGAACCGCAGTAGACAAAATGCGTTGCTATAGCAACACTTCATGTTTACGCTACCTTTTCTATGAGGTAAATATGACCCGCTGGGCGGAAATAGGTATAAATGGCCTTTTTTTTGCCGATTTTTTCAATCTGACTTCATATTGACAATTGTTAACAACAGAGGGTGATACATAACACACTTTCAGGAAAAGTCACGGACTGGGAGACTTTAATATGTTATTGAAAAAAAGTTACATACAATCAAAAAACAGCTGCGGGTAAAATGTACCCGTTGGCGGTTCTAGTGCAAAAGGCCTTTTGGGCTATGTGTGTTTGTTTTGTGAAGAACAGGATGTCAGAATAATGGGGTGCTACAACAATGGATAACCACTGACCTGTAACGGTTAACCTGCAGTGAGCCAACACCAACCACTGGCTTCTAAATGGCTGCTTTATTTTAAAAGTCATTGTAAAAGAAGAAAACAGAAACCTCAGCTACACAAGCACAATAATTGGTTTTAGTAATGTTCATTACCTGTAAAGATGTAGAGGCCAGTTATCGGGTCACAGATGAACCGAGGCCAAAGGGTGACGTTGTAGTAGGCAGGGACCAACGCAGTGGGGAGACGATAGCTGAGGGGGAAAAAATAAGATTACTTATAAAGTAATTTTTAACTAAACACGATTTTGTGTTGACTTTCTTTGTTTTGGGCTTAATATCCTGTCCCTAAAGTAGCAGTGAGTGAAATGGAACAAATTAACAGCACATTGTAATCCACTATCATCATCATCATCATCATCACACATCTGGAGAGTCTCACATTGCATTGGACTGATTCCTGTATTTGGTGTCCCAACAGAACACATCAGAAATCCAAATCATATGCTTTGAGCAAGAACAAAGTCATGCAATATACACAAACTGACATACAACAAACACAATTCCACTACCGTTAATGATGTATTTTAGTGTTCATTAACCCAACTAAAGTTAAGGTGTAGTGTAAATTAGTAGATTGTTCCTTCGTCCAAGGGTGCATTAAACACTAATAACCCAGTGAAATGTAATTACAAATGTAACTAAACCATGTTAATGAAGTGAAGAATAACATATCTCACAATGAAAGATACATGAAGGCCACTAATTGGGGTCCGGGGGTATGCTCCCCGAAAGAACATTTTGAAAAATAACCCCTTAAAGGATAACTTCTAGTGATGTTGGGTGGGGGGAGACAAATTAAGGCTTAAAAATATGAGAAGCCTAATCAACAGATTCAAAGTATCTGACTGGCTCTGCAGGGAGATTCACTGACTGGTTGTAGATAGGCTTACAAAGGCTGCTGACTGACTAGAACTGACCTTACAAACAACTCCTCCAATTATTTAATTAGATGTAATTAGATGTGTAGTGTGGTATACCTCCATAATCTTCAGTGTGGTTAACTATAATAAAAATAATACATCTTATAGCGTTTTTCCTGGTGCTCAAAGCGCTTGAACTATGAATCAAAACTTCCAAACACCTTGTCCTGGACATAGTTTATACTGTATAAACTGGGACTGAAGTCCAGAGTCTGCAGAAGTCAAAGTATTCACACGCACAGACTGCTTTGGGTGCTGAATTTGTCGCCCCTTGGCCATCAGATGTGAGGGCGCTGATTGGCTGAATGTATGTTTTGCTTGCATAGTTTTCGGGTAGCAACGGTCAGCGATTGGTTGGCTGCTGCACTTACTGGGGTGCTTTTCTGAGTAGGCCTACCCCAGACGAGAGAGGGGAAATTAACATACTGTAATAATGGTTCTGATTTTATATATTAAACAGTATTGTATATTTAAACACACTTAGTGAAGTTTTATTAAGAGAATCTCTATCTGAAGAATTAAATACGCTTTCTACCGGTGAGGAAGGGGGGGGAGGCGCCACAACTGCACTCTACATACTGTATGTACTGTTGCCAATAGACACTATAAACCATATACATTTTATTTATAGTGCCCTCACTATTAGATAGTTACATTAACAAATGTCAGTAAGAACATAAGATTACACCTAAAGCACCCAGATATTGTTCTAAACTGTATTAAAGTAAACAGGTATTATCTTGAACTGTATTGAAGTGAACATGTATTATTTGGGACTGTTTAAAGTAATCCTATATATCTAAACCTTCTTACTTACACTCCATGACCCAGAGACCCTGACACACACACATACACCTCCTGTCTCCATGCAGCACACACACATAAACTCCTTAACCCAGATATCAGCATGCACACACACATAGGCCTCTGCTTACCAGCATGCACACACACACACACACACATACACTTTCCCTCACTAACACACACACATGTTCTTTTTTCAAGGTTCCTTGCTGGGAATAATCCCAAGCACCAATATATCTGTGTACAATGTTTGATTGTTTTAAAAGAATAGTTTGTGTGAAACCTTCCCTGGGAAATTAAAGGAGTTGGGTCCGGTGGAAGATAAGAAGTGGATCTCCACCTCAAAATATATCCATATATACTGTTGTGTAGTCATGCAAAAGGCCCCCTGTTTCTGACTGGCTGGTCCCGATACCTGCATCGCACAGCAGTAGAACTGGGAGTCCGGAGTACTCTGTAAACTTGTATTGGTGTTTTTTACCATTAAAATCAGATTATTGTTATAACTTTATGCCGGTGTGTTGAACTCCCTCTTTTATCAATCTGACCAGGCTCATCTAAAGGACGGCGCGGAGCAGAGGTGGGCTTTAAGCCACCACTATTGTGTTTGCGCCTACACACCGCATTCATTTCAGAGGAAATGAGCTGTGAGCACAGTAAAGTAATGTTGATCTCGGGGATATAGAAGATGGAGAAGAAGAGACAGTTACTTTTTCACTTGATGTGTTTTTTTGACTTACAGTGATTGAGAAACACTGATACTTATTACACAATGTTTATTTTGAATGTTAGCTTTTATTTAAATAAGAGTCTGTCTTGCTCCAACAGGGATCAATATGAACCAAGATTGTTTAAAAACAAATTCTCATTCATGTTGTGTGGCAGCATGTGGGAAGCCAATGTGATCTTTCCATCTGCATGCACTTAACTTTCAGCAAATTGTTTATTACTTTTTAATATCCTTTGATGAGACAGCTTTGTCAAACATTTTGTCGGATGTCCTACCTGTCCCAAGGAGCTGTCCCGTCATCATTGTCTCCTCCTGTCAGGGCAATAGTCCACAACGTGATGATGGTTGCTATTGAGACCAGGGCTAAGAGCACACACAGAATGCAGAGCTTGTTAACTCTGCAGCTTTTCCCCATGTCCAAACAAACAGCACAGGAGTTCCACGGATAGATTTGAATGGAATTACTGCGAGGAAATCAGTTGACTAAACCTGCTAATACACGCTTTAGTGTCACTAAAATGACTGCTATAATGCAAGTGGTAAAAGTTCTGATTAAAACAAAAGAAGAACAATGCATTCACTGAGTCTCAGATTGCATGCAGAATGACAAGCACAATTTACACCAGGGTTTAAGTCCTCACAACTGCCCCCACCACCTCTCTCTCTTTTTATGGAGTCCTCTTAGTATTTGACACCAATGGATGATATATTAGGTCATAACAGCTCTCATGGATAAGGTGCAAGAGGAAACGGTTGATAACCATTTGCTAATAATTAACTATCTACAATAAAGTTTTACTGGATGGTACATATCAGTCAAAAAACAAGGCATGTCTGCTCAGAATTCCCACAGGATGTTAAGATTATTTTTGTCTTTTGGTGCCAGACAGGCTGGTCTGAGTATTTCAGAAACTGCTGATCTACTGTGATTTTCACACACAACCATCTCTACCATGCAGAAGACCATCTCTGAGTGCACAACACATGGAACCTTCAAGCAGATGGGCTACAGCAGCAGAAGACCCCACCGGGTGCCCCTCCTGTCAGATAAGAACAGGAAACTGAAGCTGCTATTTTCGCGGGCTCACCGAAACTGGACAATAGAAGATAGGAAAAATGTTGCCTGGTCTGATGAGTCTCGATTTCTGCTGAAACATTCGGACGGTAGGATCAGAATTTGGCTTAAACCACATGAAAACATTACATTACATTTCATTTAGCTGACGCTTTTATCCAAAGCGACTTACAATTACCAATTACAATTACTTCAGCCCACCTCACTATCCATTAGACCACCACTATCCCTTCCTGAAAACATGGATCCATCCGGCCTTGTATCAAGGGTTCAGGCTGGTGGGGATGGTGTAATGGTGTGGGGGATATTTGATTGGCATAGTTTGGCCCCCTGGGTACCAAATGAGTACAATCATTGAAGTATTGTTGCATGTCCATCCCTTTATGACCACAGTGTACCTGTCTTCTCATTGCTACTTCCAGAAGGATAACGTAGAAGATTTCAAGGCTTTATTGTCAAGTGCACAGTAGCTACAGTGTAGATATGGCAATGAAAAACTTAAGTCGCAGGCTCCTCCAACTGTTGGGTCTCGTCAAAAATGTTAGTTTAGTCATGTTTTGCTAAGTCATTTTTGTCTTGTCTCCCACTTCCTGTTTTATTTTGGTTCTCACCCTTTGTGTCTCATTCCAGGTCCCTTGACTCCCTATCCTTAGAGGCTTCTCAATTCTTAAATTTTCCCTCCTCGACTCCTCGGTCCTCCGGGAGTGACCCGGAAATTGATTTCAGCGCGCCATGTTGAAGGACATCTCATTTCTCTAAATGCACATCGAGGACCGAGCATCGAGCGTCGAGGAGGCTCTCTGGAGGAGCTCTAACCGAGGATACACTTATGGTTCCTCCACGGCTCCTCCGCGGATGCATTTCCGGGAACGGTGGAGGCGTGACGCACGGCCGGACTTATTTCAGCCAATGACAGCTCTGCATGCATCCCCTGGATATTATTTTAGAAACTGCTTTCATCGCGACGCGATGTTTCCAGAGAGAACAGCTGTGGGGTCCGTGCAGAAAGCAGAGCAGTGTGTATAATATATATCACTCAGTATTACAGGCCTACATTACTCTCTTTATTTGTGTAACTGTCTTCACTTTCTGTGTTCTTTTGTTTCCACGTCCATGTATTTTTGGTTCCTATCTTTTTTATGTGCAACATTTAGAGGCGGAACTAATCTGCTGTGTTTTGTGTTACACCTGTTTAATCGATGCACTGGATAGTTGCAAAGGCAGAGCAACGCAAGACGTTAAAGGAAAACTAAGGAAACCAAAGAAAAAATGCATATAAAGTTATCAGCCCCTCTAGGTGACTAGCAGCCTGCGAGGTACGTTTCGTGCTGGTTGTTTGTGTAATTGTGTGTGGTTGAGCTGCAGGTTTGTGTGTGTATGTATGTATGCCATGCGCTAGCTTGTGCTACATGCTATTGTTAGCTTGTGCTACTTGCTGTGTGGGATATGTGCGCCGTTTATTGTTTAATTGGCGGCATTAACAGTGATGACATATGCATATATTACATATTTATTTGTTGTTTACCTTTTATATTTTTCTGTCTTATAACCCAGTTCTCACGGGTTGGAAAAGGTCCCACAAGAATAAACCCCGTATTTAATCAAGACCTCAGCCTCGTGTCATTTACTGGAGGGAGCTACAATTTGTATGCTGTAGTTTAGTAGATATCTACAAACAAAGAGTTGATATTTTTCTAAGACCATTTAGTGCTTCACATAATAAAATACACAACGGCTGTAGCCTGATTATGCTTTAGGAGCTGTAAGTGTGTGTGGTACAGTGTGTGTGTTGCACAGTGCGTAGATGCGGCGGACAGACGGGTCTCAGTTGGTTTGGTGTCCTCTGCTTACTTTTAATACTTGTAAATACAACTTTTGGCCCGTAATTTAAATTCCCATTTCAGCGACCAGAGAGAGGGGGGGATATATCCAGTCTCTGATTGTGTTACGTTATTATGAGAGTGCTCTCATACTTTAAATTATATATATTTATATAAATATATGTGTGTGTGTATATGTCCGCATCTGTCGCCTGTTATTGTCTCATTATACCGCACTGTGAATGAATTAAAAGTAAATATATAAGTCGTCATGAACACATCTGTCCATCAGACAGAGGGCTGCTGTGCCTCCTGTCATCATTAATGGACGTCTCTTTAAAATGACCGCTCAGAGGAGAGGAGTTCTCATTTCTCTAACCGCCTGCTGCTTCCACTCCTCTCTCCTCGGTTCCCCTCCTCAGTCCTCCGCTCGCATCTCCTGTGGGCGGGACTAAGTCTCGAGGATAGGAGTCGAGGAGGGGAGACGAGGAGGGGAAATTTAAGAATTGAGAAGCCTATCTTGTGTGTGTGCCTGCCCTCATCAGTGTTATCCCCACCCCTGATTGTTTCCACCTGTGCCCAGTTACCTCATGTTTAAATTCCCCAGCCTCCCCTTGTCTTGTGCCAGTTCCTCTTGTCCTGTCTTCATGTCAGTAGCCAGCGTACCAGCGTTTTTCCTCTTGTTTCAAGCCTGATTCATGCTCCCGAATTTTTCTAGTAAGTTTTGTTCCTCATTTTGTGAGTGATTTTCTGTTTATACTTTCTGACATTCTTAGTTGCCCTATTTTTCTGATAATTAGTTTTGATCCTCATTCTGAGGGAATTGTTTTTGAACCTTTTTCACCTCGTCAAGAGCGTAGATCCTTTTTTGTGATCTGTTATTGGAAATAAAGTATTTTTCTCATACTTTACCTCTGTCTCCTGGGATCGTGCATTTGAGTCCTACTACCTTGTGTTTTCAAGTTTGTGACAGAACGAACTGGCGACAATGGACTCAGCCGACACAAAGACACTTCACGCTGCTCTGTCAGCCCAAGGCGTCAAGATCTACGAGCTTGAGGAGCAGTTAGGCTCAATCAGCCAAGGAGTCAAAGTACTTGCAGGATGTCAGGCCGAGCTTCAAGACTCCATCACTTCACAGATACAACAGTTGACAGCGCACATGCATCAATTAATCGCTCATCTGCAGACTGCTCCTCCGGTGATGTCGCCCACTGCTGACTCCTCTCCAGCCGAGAATCCTGCTGACACTCCCAAATCGATCCCAGCTGCCTCCTCATCATTGCGTCTGGCTCTCCCGGGGATATTCTCTAGAGACTCCAATAACTGCAGAGCCTTCCTTGTGCAGTGCGAACTGCATTTCCAACACAACCCAGGAGCATTTTCATCAGACCATGCAAGGGTGGCATTCATCGTGTCCCATTTAACGGGGAGAGCTGCAGCCTGGGCTACCGCAGAATGGTCTAGATACTCTGAGATCTGTTATTCATTGTCCGACTTCACAGACACCATGAGCCGCATACTCGACCACACATTACCTGCCACAGAAGCCAGCAGAAGACTTCTGCAGATGCGTCAGCAAAGCGGGTGGAACACTCCGGCGCTCCGCCACGCTTTCATAACTGGGCTTTCAGATCCGATAAAGGACCAGCTGGCTCCTCTGAAGGTGCCAAGGGACCTAGAGTCCCTCATCTCTGTGTCCATCCGGGTCGACAACCGACTTCGGGAGAGGGAGCGCCGGCGCACAGGTGTCCGTCCTCCCAGTCCCCAGGGATTCCCTATGAGAATCCTCCTACCAGGAAGGTCCTTCCAGTCCACGACTTCGGACCACCGGAGGACAGCGCCTCCGCTTGCTTAGGAGGAACCCATGCAGCTGGGTAGAACCAGGCTTTCTCTGGAGGAGAGGCAGCGCCGTCTGCGGGAGGGCTGCTGTTTCCTCCTCGTCCCGTAACCCAGGTAAACCTCTCCATTAATAATCAGGCCATTGACCAAGGGGTATTAATAGACTCAGGGGCTGACGAAAGCCTAATGGACTGGGGCATAGTGCAACAGCTGCAGGTAAAAACTGTCCCTCTTTCTCGCCCCTTTAACGCAAGTGCCTTAGACGGCCGCCTTTTGTTCACAGTTACCCAATGCACAGAACCTATTCAGATCACTGTAAATAAGGACCACACAGAAACAATGCAATTTCACATTTTCGAATCTGCTCAGCACCCGGTGATTTTGGGTTTCCCATGGCTAAAGATCCACAACCCCTACATTGACTGGCGCTACGGGAACATTAAGGAGTGGGGGGAGGATTGTAATAATAGATATAAACATTCACGAGCTGCTCATGCACAGATTGAAAATGCTGGAAATGCTGTAGATCATCCTGATCTGCTGAAGGTACCACCATGCTACCATGATTTAAGGGACGTTTTTAATAAATCTAAAGCCATGTCGCTACCTCCCCACCGATCTTTCGACTGCCCCATTGACCTTCTAGCGGGAGCCCCCATCCCCAGAGGGAGACTATAT